AAAAAAAAAAAAAAAAAAAAAAAGATTGAAATTGATGAAGAATGGAACAAATATGGTGCTTTTTAAATAGATTTTTTCAGTCTTTAAGGCAGTAAAAATCCAAACTTTTTCAAAGTCTCAGAGCGGGTTCACGATCGATCTATATGAAAGAAGACCAGTAATCAAGATTCAAGAACACAGAAAAAGGTTGAAAATCAATTATAATGGTTTACAGACAAAAGAAAACGTAAATGATGAAAGATGAATACGATAATTGTAGCAGCAGCCAGCACCGCTGTTGGATTTATTTTTTTGTTTCCATATTTTTGTGGGCACAATGAAATTTAGAACTGCTCGTAAGCTCTACCGAGTTAAACCGAGTTAAACCGAGCTAAAATATTAAAAAAATAAAATAAAAAAATAATAGTAACAAATTATAATTATTTTTTTTAATAAAAATCTCTATTTTTGAGTTTAGTCTACTTTGGTTGAGTTATTATTTAATTATATTGATAATATATTGATGATAATAAAATTGAATTAAAATTGAGTTGAAAAAGTGGTTGACTTTAAATTAATTGGATTTTTAAAGTTGGATTTGTATCCAGGCATTCATACCATTTTATTAAACAAATATTTCATTATGAGATGTTATATTTAAAAATAATAAAAATACAAATATATCATTTTATAGTATAAATATGCATTTCCTACAAAATCATCTATATAGTTACCTAAGGATTAAACGACATTTCTGACCAAAAAATAAAGCTTCACTTCAAGTAGATCTTATCATTTTTCTATCAAGAAACCCCAAATTAGATGAAACTAAAATAACTAATTAAAGCACATCAAAATGCCCTAGTAGGAATCACATTTTAGAAGCTAGAAACAAATCAAGGTTCATCTGTAATTAGACTAATCTCATGATATGAATCCTGCCAGTAGCCTCCAGCAACACACACTATACATTCAAAAGTTATAAAATCCTTGGCACACATTATTACATCAGAACGGGCTTGAACCGTACATTAAAGGGATGTACGCCCATATTCTTTCTAAGTACATTCGATTATTCTTATTCGATTTAGTCGTAACATGATGTTTTTATGTATTGTATAGTATCAAATAGATCCTGCACCAGCAGCTTTCTCCAGAGGCTGTCCATCATTCAACTTTGAACGCTTTTTCTCGTAATCTTTGACAGCCGCTTTTATCGCATCCTCAGCAAGCATGCTGCAATGGAGTTTCACGGGAGGAAGAGAGAGATGTTTGGCAATTTCCCTGCAAAAAGTTCAATAGCTATGTCATTGTCAACTGGATAAGTGCGATAGACAAAACACAGATTGATACTCGGGAAAATAAGATTTGAAATAATTTTCATAATTCGCCAACCAAACTCCATTATTCCTTCTAAGCAGGATAACAGCTGAATTAATAGGGTGTTAAGCGCGTGTTCATATACAAGACTGGGACTCACTACTCAACAGTTCTCAAATTCCGAGTAACACATATGAAGGATTTCAGAGTACCAAAATTGATATAAGCAAATCAGATTCCTACCAGGATTTACAGATGATGGGAAGGCCCACACATCCTAGTAAAATTTTCATCTTAGGAGCAGTATATGAAAAATTCTAAAAGTTCAGTTTATTTTTCACCTGTAAATGTAAAGACTATTTACTTTAAGAGGAAGCATAAATAATACTGCAACTAATACTGCACATGCATACTACAAAAATATGATCGAGTTCAGGAAGCATAAAGTACAGACCCAGGAAATACTGAGTGGCTTTTTCTATTTCATTATATAAATATCACGGCTAGTGGATGACATCATATGGAACAAGAATATCAGTCAACTTACGTGTTCTTGATTGACAGGACTTCCTCCATTTGTTTACCTTTCACCCATTCAGTTGCTGCAATGAATAAAACATTGTCTTAGTAATATTACACAGACAACTCAAGAGACAGCCACATGTCAAGAACGAGATTTATAAAGGCATATATATATATATATATAGAAATATCATCACATAAACTCTTGTGAATATCAAAGTGAAGCTCTTACTAGTCAATATTCAGTGCTGCAACTTCAAAAAATTTAGACATAGTGAATAAAACAAACTAAACAAGATCAAATAAATAACCAAACACTATCTCATGATAAGAATTAACAATTATAATCAGCCAAACATGAACCAATATGAACACTCAGCGAAATAATTTGCGAATATACTTTGGAGAATTCATATTCAAAGCATCCCATCAGATAGCTCTTACTAATACATAATACGAATGAACCAAGCCAACAAGTGAAATGTCGTCATATATACGGCACACATGCAATTGGAAGAATCGGTTTCCACCATCAATCAAAAGCCCACCAAAACAATACCTGTAAACCATTTTACACTCATAACCTTACCAAAACATAGAAGCATATAGGTAGAAGTACCTTCACACACCTATATTCAATGAGAAACAACCATAATTCGTTATGATCCACTTATCTCCGAACAAACCCAATTCTACATGCATAAACATTTAGCAAAATCTTAACCTAGATCGGTCAAGTAACAAATAAAGCACCAAACTTCCAACACCTATCTCTTGACCAAATCCATTTCCAGTTCACCAATCTCCACACAACCACATCAAACCAAAACGCAAACAACCCACTAACTCCATAGAGCTTTAAACAATCTCCAACTATATTTTTCATAACGTACAACACAAATTCCAATTCCATCGACCACAGAAACTTACCAACGGAGGAGGAGGCTATAGCAGAACCGCACCCGAAGGTCTTGAAACAAGCATCGACGATCTTCCCGCTCTCCTCGTCAACCCTGATCTGCAGCTTCATCACGTCGCCACAAGCCGGAGCTCCGACGAGGCCCGTGCCGACGTTCGGGTCGCCCTTGTCGAACGACCCCACGTTCCTAGGGTTCTCGTAGTGATCCACCACCTTCTCGTGGTACATCCTCGCCGCCGGCGCCGCAGGGGATCGAAGCCCACGTCCCAGAAACTTGCTCGCTACGTGCTTCAACATTTTGGGTACAGTAATTTTGAGAATCGAGTAGCAATTGAGATGGCTCTGTATCTAGGGTTTGTTAAATTGGGGGAAACAATGGGGGGATTTTTGTTTTTTTCCCAAGTAGAAAGGCGGTTAGAACTTAGAAGAATTTTGACCCGGTTTATAGGAATCGGGTTCGACTCTTTTCAATGCTTATCGGTTATGATAAGATCACAAGGTGTTCATGGGTTTTTAAGTGAATGCTTGATTGTGATTGGATGATAGAGTATTACCTTTTCTAGATTGGGGTTAGGGGTGGATATAATAATAATAATAATAATAATAATAATAATAATAATAATAATAATAATAATAATAATAATTAGGTTAAATCGAAAAATTGAGCTAAATTGTGCAATTTCATGTGGTTCGAATCGATTTTTAGTGTATAAAGTACTTAATTAATGTGGTCTCGATTTGATTTAGTTTTAGTTTATTGTGATGATGCTCAATTATTATCTTTCTAGTATCTCAATTTTTTTTTTTTTATTTCTTGATTCAGTGCAATTTTGCACGAACTTGATTAAATGTTGAGCAAACTTTACCGCATTCAACTATAAATTCCCATTTACAGACAATATTAGAAGGGTGGCAACATATTGTATGTATTGTGTCTCTTGAATCCGAGCTGCATCTTTTAAACAATCTGCATTTGGGGCTATGTAATAATAATGTAGTTCTAGAGGACATCAGTTTGTTATGTTTGTCGTTTGAGTCGTGTTTGTTTAAGTTTTCTTCTTTCTCCTTTTCTAGTTGTGCTCTAGCCAAGTTGGCTCTTGAGGGAGAATACTGAGGTGCTTCTCCCATTGTACTACAACCCGTTGGTTATCTTGTTGCACTCTACTTGAGTTATAATAATTTCATTTTCGTTTGGAAAAAAAACTATAAATTTCTATTTGTATTCACAATTATGAAGTTCTAATTGTTAATTACAAGTATACCAAATTTCAAATTTATAAATATTTGATTTATGATTTATTTTTCATTTATTGCATTTTTTATTTATTTCTCTTAGTTTATGACTTGTTGATGAATTGTTTAATTACAATTTTCTTTTTGAGTGTGGTAATTTAAATTGAATAGAATAAAAAGGTGCATAAACATGGAACCAAGAAAAATATGGGCCCTTTTTTTGATTCGATGGGGCATAAAATCTGCCACTACAAAATTACATAATCTAATTATGTGATTACTTACAAATGAAATAAAATAAAAGATGTAGTATTTATTTCTGTATGCTTAGTTGTGCTACACAAAAGATGGTTATCACATTTGATTGTACTTTTATTTACTTGTAACCAATAATTGATTCTCTGTAGATGAATTATTATTATTATTATTATTATTTTTTTTTGGTACAAAGAAATAGGCCAAGATCCTAGTCTAGGACTTGCCGAGGGTGAGATACACCCATGCTATCATGCTCGAGCCAAATACTTAGTCCAGGAGGAGGAGAAGATAACGTTTGAAACCCGATCGGGTATGAAGCCGCTAGTCGGGCCACAAAGTCCGCCGCATAATTCACTTCTCGAGGCACACAATGAATC